TGAAGTCCAAGATGCATCGCCCGCGGCGCAACGCCTCGTGCGTCACGCACGGCCATGGCCGCGCGACAGGACGGCGCGATGGCCCGAGCGCGGGCGTCGGGCCCCCATTCGTGAGCGCGCTGTGTGGACCGCGCGCGTAGAAGCCCAAGACCGACGGCGCTGGCTGGCGGAATAAATGGCGCGTTGGCCACGCCCCATGTCACGACCGCCCAGAATCCGAGTGCGCTTCGCAAAAGCACACTTGATGCGCCACGAAATCATCGATACGAACCCCAACGCACAATTTGATACGCCACGGGATAATACACGCGAGTCCCAGCTCCAAAAGACATCAAACTTGATGCGAATCCCAACCCCGCAACCTCGAATTTCATGCGCATCCCAAATCCAGCACTGATGCGAAACCAAATCCAGTTCCAGCTCAAGGCTGGCCAGCGAAACTCTTGATTCCCCAACTGCAAAGTGGATGCCCGGCGACTAGGTTGCTGCGTTTCCGAGCTCCATGTGTGATGGCCAAACACAACCAGCATGCGTTCAAGACTGAGCTAGCCCGCTTACTTCGCAAGCGGATTGCTCCAGACTCTTGCAAGACCCCCCACGCCACCCCTGCGCGTGGCGGCTTTCGCACAATACCCTCCGGCGTCGTGAATTTTGCCGAGCAGCCCCCCCCCCCGCCCGCGCGCGCACGCAAGCGCGCACGCGCGCCAACGTCGCGATTTGCAAAAAGTTTGCAGAACACCTCAGGCGCCCCCTTCGAGTCGGCCTGGCCCGACATGCGATTATTGCAAAACGCCCCCCCCTACCCTTTCCTGGTCGCGATGTTTATAGAATCCCCACGCGCAGCGAGTTCCGCCGACTGCGATGTAAATTCCAAGGCCCGCGAATCCAAGGGCCCGCTCTCCAGGCCCTGGGTCCTGGGCCCTGTTGCCAAAGACCCGGGTCGAGGATTCCTCGGCCCCCATCCATCAACGCATTTCCGCGTCCACGCCACCAAAAGAACACGCATGAAAACCGCGACGCCGTTGTTCAGAACTTCTGAACAACATCGCGCAGCCAGTTCCACACAATTGATGTTGACGCATACTTCGTCTGCGGACTTCGGCGTCGGTTTTACCGGCGCGTGTGCGATCGTCATTGCGAAACTGCAAGACCTCGGAAACGATGACTCCACGCAGATACGCAACACCTGAACCGACGCAAGACGCAAAACCATAGATGGGTCGTGGCCAACAGAGACTCGGCATCTCAACCCTCCAGGCGTCGAGGAGGCGTGGCAGTCCTATCGCCCTCCAACGGCGATTTCCTGGGAAGGATCATCGAAACCGTCGTGGGTGCTGGCCCTTGGAGCGCGGCGTGCCCTTCCTCGTCAGCATGTTTTGGGTGTGTTGCTTCTGTCGCTGGATTGGCCTACAGGGTGCACTAGGAGCATCGCGCCACATAGTGGCGCTTGAGCTCGTCGTGCGTCGCATTGTCGCTGAGCTGTGCGCTGCCGATTGGACGATCGTCAAGATGAGCCCGCAGGGGCCCAGGTCTGTCCTGGAGCAGGGAGTGCGCAGGTAACGTTGAGAGTCATGCCCCAAAGGTCCGGCAGCGAGTAGTCTCAGACTCGCGCGACGGCCCCCATAAAGCGGGCAGCCCTGTTGAACGACCCGCCTTCGTAGCCCCACTCATTCCTGCATGCGCTTCCCCCGGTTCCAGCATCAGGCTTGCTCTTGGCTCGGGGCGCCCTGCCGCCGCCGCTGATGCGAACGTCGCGCCAACGACAGCTTGACATCGCCCGCTACGCCCACGAGCGAACGCAGTGGAGGCAAAACGTATTGAACCTTGTTTCCCTCGGCTGTCGCAACGCAGCTGCGCTTGCCCCGGGGTCCCACATCTCCGCCGCAAATGGGCGCCGTCCTTGTTGATCTCGCGCTGGTTGTAGTAGCTGCAATTGTGTTCCTGCCCCAGCGATGGCGGCTGGCCGGGTTGGCCCAGCCCGTCCCTGACGGCGCGGCGCCTGCCTCTGATAGGAGCATTTGGCGCGGGAGGCCGCCGACGACGACGATGACCGACCGCCAGGGGAAGGCAGCGTGTCACGCGGGCCGTGGCGGCAGCTGGTGGGTCGAAATGCTCCACGACCAACCAGAAGCTAAAGCAGTGGCGAGAGAGATCTTCGTTCGTTAATAAAGCGGAAGGTGTATGGCGATGTACAGCGGGCGCGGCACCTGGCCAGGTTTGAGCCAAACGCTCATGGCGCAGCCCTGCCCACTGCCATGCTACAACGATGCCGACTGTCCTGCTGCCCAGTAGCATATCGTTCGGGTGCGAGGACAGGGAGGGGAGGGAGGGAGGAGAGGGAGAAGAGGGAGGGAGGAGAGGGAGAGAGGGGGAGGGAGGGGGAGGGAGGAGAGGGAGGGAGAGAGGGAGGAAAGGGAGGAAAGGGAGAAGCTCGCCCCAGGCCCCGCGATGCAGCGCTTGCGGCGAGAGGGGAGGAACTGGGAGGGAGGGGGGAAGGAAGGGAGGAACCTCGTTTCCTCCCCTCCCTCGCCTCCTCTCCTCTCCTCTCCTCTCTTTTCCTCTCCTCTCTTTTCCTCTCCTCTCCTCTCCTCTCCGTTCTCTTCCTCTCCTCTCCCCTGACCATGTGCGAAAGATGCCCCGTCCTCTCCACGCATTGCTTGTTAAATGCAAGCTTGGGTCACGTTACTAGATCCGAGATGTTCCTCATCCTTGCCATTGACCTCTCTTCCCCTCCTCCGCCTTCCCCCGACCGGTTCTCCTCCCCGCTCTTCCCGCTCGCTCCACTCCAGTCTCCGATGCCGCTCCTCGTCGTCACCCTCCTCCTTCCTTCTCCTCCTGCTCGAGTCTCCCGGTCCGACCGCGAATCACACGGCGGGGTCGTCTTGGGGAGGAGGAGGAGGAGGAGGAGGAGGAGGAGGGGAGGAGGAGGAGGAGGAGGAGGAGGAGGAGGAGGAGGAGGAGGAGGAGGGCCAGGCCCGCTGTGACATCGCGTCCACGGACGGAGGCAAGGGCGGCGCTCCCATGGGGAAGGGATTGGGCGGGGGGGGGGGGGGGGGTCGGGCGTCAGAGGTGGGCGCGAGCGAACAGAGCCTCGCCGTCCCCTCCCTCCCCTCTCCCCCTCCTCGCTCCCCTCTCTCCTTCTCCTTCCTCGCTCCCCTCCCCTCTCTCCCCTCCCCTTTCTCCTCGCTCCCCTCCCCCTCCTCGCTCCCCTCCCCCTCCTCGCTCCCCTCCCCCCCCCCACCCCTTCCTGGAAGATGCGGGGGGACGATGAGAGGACGAGAGTGGTGAGGTGAGAGGATGTCAGAAGCCAGGCGAGGACCGGCAAACCCGTAGCTGCTAAAGTGTAGCTCCGGGAAATGGTTCGTTCCTTCCGGGAAGCAGCCCGTTTTACTATTTAGCGCGCTGGGTTTTATTCCGGGCATTTGTGTTTCTCTTCCGGGAAGACCGTTTTAGCAGTCACGGATTTGCCAGCCCTCGCCCAGCTTCCGAGAATGGGAGGGGGGAGGAGGGGGGAGAAGGACGGATGCAGATAGTAAGAGAGAGAGAGAGAGGAAGACATGCTAGGGAGGGAAGAAGGAGCGAGGAAAAACGGAGGCAGGGAGGGGATAGAGAGAGGAGAGGTGCGACGTGGAGGAGGGGCAGGGAAGACGAAGGGAGGGCCTGAAGAGCCAAGAGTGCTTGGGATGGACGAGGGAGTCGTGGGTGAGGAAGGGGAAGATGGAGGGAGAGGGACGGGGTAGGGATGGGGCAGGGAGGGGGTATAGAGGAAGGTTGAAGGGTAGAGACAACCAGGGCGGGATGAGGGAGGCAGGGATGAAGGGAGGGGGAAGAGAGGGATAGTTAGGAAAGAGGAGGGATGAAAGAACGAGCTATCGAAAAGGCAGTGAGAAGAGCGGACAGCGAGGAAAAAGGATAGTGGGGAAGAGACAGCGACGAAACTGATGGCGATATGCCGCATTTTCCCGAATTCGTGAACATTGGGGAAGTGCACGCGTCATCGAATGCGTCGTTTCAAACGATGTGCAAGCAAACCAGACGCAGCATGGCCATCGCTCGTGCTGCTTGTGCCGCTGCTCGCACAAAACATCTGCTTCAAACCAGCACACACACAAACAACGAGGTCCGCATCGAAACTTCGGCCTGCAACGCAAGGCGACTGCACACTCGGCCCTGACTGTGGATGAGACAGATGGGGGGCACAAACGTACCAAAACTTACTGCCACTCTTATGTTGCATCTTCGGGGGGCCTCGTCTGTCCCGTCACGCCCCTATCCGCGTCGAATCCGTGTCGAATCCACGTCGGACTCGTCGGGCCCGTGTCGAGTCCGTGCCGAATCCGCGTCGCATCCACGCCAAATCCGCGTCGAGGCCGCATCGAGCCCGCGTGGCGCACAAGAAAAGACATCTATTTTGGGGACAGGCGAGGTCCCCCGAAGATGCAACGCAACCGCTCCACAGGCCTCTCATGCGGTGCGCTCTGACAAAGACGTCTCAAGGCGAATCCGGCCGTGCCGACGACGGAACCCTACGATCACCGTGCGAACAAAGCTGCAGCATCGCAGGGAATCAAGAGAGGAGCCATCGCCCGCTTCTCTCTGCTTCACCTTTCGTTTGGACGCCCGGAATGGGTACGGAAAGAATGGGCACTACGCCCAACAACAAATGTTGTCCCAAGCCAACAGCGGCCGCTGTTGGGCGGGCGGCCTCCTGTCTCGAATGGACACAAGCCGCGGCGGCGTGGACAGCGGATCTTGTTCAAAATGAACAAGATCCGCTGTTGGGCATAGTACCCATTCTTTCCGTGCCCATCTCGTTCGTGCAAATCTCTGCTTCACCTTTCGAGCCGGATCGATCTGTGGTGGTCCTGGGGCCCGGCACCGGGCGAACACTCCCGGTGTGGAGACACCGCAGCGCCCCGATCTCCGAGAGAAGGGCAGCGGCAGCGGCACTTGCCTCCGAGAGCGACGGCAGCGGCTCCTCCCCGAGGCCGGCCGACCACTCAGACGTATCGCAAGGGTGCCGGCGGCTCACTGGCGGGCCACGCGATGTGCACGACGGTGTCCTGGCGCGGAGGGCGGCCAGGGGGTCTGAGAGCTGGAGAAGAAAATCGGTCAATGAGGACAGCACAACCCACCCCCACCCCCACCCAGGGCACCCACCTCCGACCTGGTGGTCCAGGGTGCCCTGGGTGGGGGTGGGGGTGTGTTTTTGGGCCCGCGGCTCTTACAACACACCCCCACCCCCACCCAGGGCACCCTGGACCACCAGGTCGGAGGTGGGTGATGAAGGCAAACTCGCTCAAAAGCCGTCCCTGGACCACTCCCGGGGCCGAAACGGAACCGCTCGCCGAGCCGGGCCGAGCCACGGCGACGAGGGGGCCCCTCCTCCCCGCCTCCGCTTCCTCCTGCTGGCCAGAGCCATCGATGGCCCACCTCGCCACCCCAGCCAGCTCCAAGGCACGGCTGCCCCCGGGGCCGCAGGCGACCCGAGGAGGAGGAGGAGGAGGAGGTGGAGGAGGAGGAGATGGAAAAGGAGAAGGAGGAGAAGGAGATGGAGGAGGAGGAGGAGGAGGAGGAGGAGGAGGAGGAGGAGATGGAGGAGATGGGGAGGAGGAGGAGGATGAGGAGGAGAAGAGGAGGAGGAGGAGGAGATGGAGAGGGAGGAGGAGGAGGAGGAGGAGGAGGAGGAGGAGAAAGAGCAGGAGGAGAAGGAGCAGGAGGAGATGGAGGAGGAGGAGATGGAGGAGGAGGAGGAGGGAGCAGGAGTAGGAGGAGGAGGAGGAGGAGGAGGAGGAGCAGGAGAAGGAGGAGGAGGACGGGTCGCCTAAGCCCTTCTGGGAACCCCTCTGAGCTCCCATCCTGACGGATGCCGCGGCGCCCCAGGCTCACCGTGAAGGCGCCGGGAGGGTCCACCAACGAGCCGCGGGCGCCGCCCGCTGGCACGGGCCGCCCGTCGACGCGCACGGCGGCGGACCTGCCCTGCGGGCCGCCCCGCAGCTGCAGCACCACCTCGGCGAGTGGGAGTTCGACAGGCACATTCGCCTCCTCCTCCTCCTCCTCCTCCTCCTCCTGCTTGTCCTCCTCCTCCTCCTCCTCCTCCTCCTCTGCCCCGCCCCCCTGCGCCGACTCTCCTGCGACCGCGAGGGCTGACTTCGCGAGGGCCACCTGCCCTCTGGGCCGTTTCGGTGGCCACACGCCGTGCTCCCGTCTTCGCTGCATCCGCGCCCCTCGGTCGGGCGGAGCGGGCAGGAACACAAAGCAAGGAGGGCGTGGGAAGCAGATCGGACTCACGCCCGCCTCCCGAAGAGGAGGGAAGGGCGACAGCCGCTCTAGGGGAACAAAAAGTCTCATAAACATAAAAACTCGGAGGTCCGCGCGGATTTCTCGGATCGGCACTGGACCCCTTCGCTGGCGCGCGGAGCGCGCCAGGGGCGGCGCTGGAGGCGCCGCCAGGGGGCCCCAGCGCCGATCCAAGAAATCTGCGCGGACCTCCAAGTTTTTATGCTTGTGTCACTGTTTGTTCCCCTACGCTCGACTCTTGAAGCAGGAAGCCGACTGGAGCAGACTGGGATCCAGATCTCCGAAAATACGGTTCCCAACGACCAGCGTGCAGCCAGTTGCAGGGAGGCGTAAGGCTCGGGTCAGGTTGACGCGGGTTGGCCTGACGAGTCCGTCAAGAGAGTCACGAAACCCAATCTGAAAAATGACGCGAACTCCCGATGCAAACATCCCACGCAAACCGGACCGCCACAATCCAGGACGGGCTCGTCAAAAAGAGTCGGCAAACTCAAGTTAAGGCGAACTCGAATCTTCTGTTTCCCCGACTGTTTGGATCGAGTGGCGCATCTCGCGCAACAGCAGTGGGAGTGCGTTTGGGGGATAGGTCTCCTGACAAAACTGGCATCAACTACGCACGCGCACTGATTTAGTCAACATTTCCACTATCAAGATGTTGCACTGATTCTAAGTAAGAGTGACCGCGGCTGCAGTAAACACCGCGGGAAGCCAGGCGCGCATGCCAAAGCTGAGGGGGGGGCTTCCACGAGGGTTGCAAAAATCAGCCGACCATGTCGGCGTGGAAGACGTTGCTCTGCTTGACTCGACGTAGTCGGTCGTCGTCGTCGTCGTCGTCGTCGTCGTCGTCGTCGTCGTCGTCGTCGTCGTCGTCGTCGTCGTCGTCGTCGTCGTCGTCATTCTTGTCCTCATCGTCGCCGTTTGACCCCCCTTTCACTGGGTCCGTCGCCGCTCCCCCCCTTTTCGCTGGGCCCTCCTCAAGCGAGCTGGCCAAAGCGAAAACAAAGTGAAATTGAGCAACGTCGCAGTTGAGTCGACGGGAAATCCCTTCCCTTTGTTCCAATCCCCCCGGGGAGGGGGTCCAAGGGGGGTGTCTTGGAGGGGTTCTCCAGGTGAGTCTGAAGGGGTCCCGGGGAGGGTCTTGGGGGGGTCCCGGGTCAGAATACCATCCTCCCCAGGGGGTCCTGCAGCCCAAGAAGGCCCCAAGACAACCCAATAGGCCCACAAAACGGTCCAACCCGAATCGCCGAACAATCGGACCAAGACGCCAAAGATGGGCCCCTGACAGCCCAGGCGGCTCCCAAGATGCTCGAAAGGGCCTCCAAGAGCACACCACGAGGGCCATAACAGGCCAATTGTATGTTTTTTGCTGTTTTTTGGGGGGACGATTCTGGCCCCAAGACGGCCCCAGAGACCTCCCAGACGGCCCAAGACGCCTACCCAAAAGACTCCAAGAGGGTGCCCACACGGGAGCCCGAATGAACATTTCGAGCCCTCGGCCCCGGGAAGCTCTCGGGAGGCCCCAAGAGGCGCCCAAGAGGCCCCCACGAGGCCCCAAGAGGCACCCAAGGGGCACCCAAGAAGCCCCCAGAAAGCCCAAAAAGACCCCCAAGAGGCCCCCGAACATGTCCCCAAGATGCTTCCAACAGGCCCCCAAACTGCCCCCCAGAGGCCTACGAGCGCGCCTCGAAGAGGCCGCACGAAGCATCACTGAGGACTCTGCCACACGTCAGCGCCGTCGTCGCCGCCGTCGTGGTCGTCGCCCCCCCTCGGGACCGGCGACACTGGTCGTAAAGCCTTCCCTACAGCACAAGGGCATTCCTCCGCGCGCCAGCGAGGCCAGCTCCTCCTCCCTATAGGACTCCTATGGAATCCCGCAGGACCCTGTAAGGATCCTATGGGATTCCTATGGGATCCTGTAGGGATCCTATAGGGCCCCCCATCGGATTCCTATAGGCTTGTTATGGAATCCTGTAGGGGTCCTTTGGGATTCCTATGGAATCCTCTGGGACCCTGTAGGGACCCCATAGGAATCCAGTAGTATTACAATCGGATTCCCAATGGAATCCTGTAGGATCCTGTAGGGATCCTGGAGGATTCCTATGGGGTTCCTATGGGCTGTAGGACGCTGAAGGGATCCTATAGGGACCCAACAGGACCCCAATAGGATTCCCATTGGAATTCCTATGGAATCCTGTAGGACCTTGAAGGGACCTGGTGGGATTGCAATGAGATCCCAATAGGATTCCAATGGAATCCTGCAGGACACTGTAGGGACCCTGTGGGTTTCCAATGAGATTCCAATCGGATTCCTATGGAATCCTGTAGGACACTGTAGGGATCCCATAGGATTCCAATAGTATTACATTCGGATTCCTATGGAATCCTGTAGGGCCCTGTAGGGACCTTCTATAAGATTTCCAATACGACTCCTATGGGGTTCCGATGGAATCCTGTAGGACCCTGTAGGGACCCTATAGGATGTCCCATCGGATTCCAATCGGATTCCTATGGAATCCTTTAGGGCCCTGTATGGATCCTATAAAATTCCTATAGGATTCAAGTTGGTTTCCGATGGAATCCGGTAGGGCCCTGCAGGGATCCTAAAAGGTTTTCTCAAGGATTCCCATAGGATTATCATGGAATCCTGTAGGACCCTGTAGGGATACTATTGGATTCCTACAGGATTCCAAGTGGTTTCCTGTGGACGCCTGTCGGACCCTGCAAGGATGCTATAGGATTCCAGCAGGATTCCTCTAGGGTTCCTATGGAATCCTGTAGGACCCGGTAGGGATCCCGTAGGAATCCTGTAACATTCAAAAAGAATTCCTACGGAATCCTTGAGAGGGGCGCGCCGAAATCAAGTTTCGGTGGAGCTCCCTGAGCCACGATCCTCGAAAGGGGTGCGCCGAAATCAAGCCTCGGTGGAGCTCCCTGTGGAGCCAGGGCCACGATCCGTGAGAGGGGTGCGCCCTTTGGGGCCTGTATGGGACTCCGCAGCAGCCCCGAGCAGGACCTTCCGAGCAACGCCGCCGGGCCCTGCAGACCCCCGCAACGGCCTGGCGAGGCCTCGTGGCGTTGCTCGGACCAGGGGCCCTGCGGGGCCCGTGCGTGGCCCCGTGGCGTTGCTCGGGGGGGCGGGGGGGGCGAGCAACGGGCCTCCAGTAGTGTCCTCGCGAAATACAGCAACAGCAACAACAACAACAACAACACAACAAAACAACAAACCAACAACAACAACAACAACAACAACAACAATCATTTTACCCGAACGCGTGGTGTTCTCCCCAGTGCCAGGGTTTTCATACGACACCAGGCAATACCCCCACTTCGTGGGGGGGCATTACAAGCTCTACCAAATATCCAAACGACTCTTCGCGACCACCCAAACCCAGCTTCCCGCCCTATGACGTTGGGACACTTCACTTCGTGGCGTGCGGACGACCGTGGCTACTACACTGGCGTGGGGTACACACCCACAGAACTTGGTCACTTATTCGGGGCGCGCATGTGCCCAGCATGGTGCAATTGTGCCATACAATACATAATACAGAGAGACAGAGAGAGAGACAGAGAGCAGACAGAGAGAGAGACAGAGAGATTGGTTGTTTTAGGATTCGGACAGCGCGCGCGGGTGGAAATTTTGAAAAGTCGTGCAGCTGTTTTTCGAGGACCTACGGTGCGATTCGTGTGATTTTATGATGCGCGGTGGTAAAATTCTTAAGAACCCAATGGTTTTTGGAGATTTCGGCGTGCGCGCGCGAAGAAAAAACGAATCTGTCCCGCATGGTATTATTTGACAGGGATGATGGCCCTGGCAGGTGCGCAACCGTTGTCGCAGAAGTTCGAAAAAGTTGCTCGCAAAAGCCCGTTTGACAGAAATGTTTAAAAAGTGTTGGGTTTCCTACGAATCCGCAAGAGCGCGCGGGATGAGATTTTGACATTTTTTTGTTGAAAAACCATTGGTTTTTTGATGTTTTTATGTTAAAATCGCTCCGAACACTAAGCTTTTGGAAGGATTTCGTCTTGCGCGCGCGAATGTCCACTTTACCTTATTTTTTGCAAGGGATTCTTGAAATTTGATTATATTAGAACAAGAAATGTCATTTTATAGTGTTTTTTGCAAGGGAAAGCGGGGGGGAACAAAACAACCGGATCTTGATCACATCGAATTACCTGAGGCTTCCTCACGAAAATGATGAAAATGTAGCTGCGGCCTAGGCGGCGCAGGGGGGCCGTGCACCAGGGGTCCCAACAATAATTATTCTTTAGAATTAATAATGTTCAACAACAACAACAATTACTAGCACGTGGGGACACTCCGTTCTCACCAGTGCCAGGGTTTTCATAGGAGGCGGGCAATACCCCCACTTTGTGGGGGGGCCGGTTCAAGCTCTACCAAATTTCCAAACGACTCTTCGCCACCACCCACACCCAGCTTCCCGCCCTATGACGTTCGGACACTTCACTTCGTGGCATGCGGACGACCGTGGCTACTATTCAGGGCCCCGCGGCCGACGACGACGGCGTGCGCGCGCGAAGAAAAAACGAATGTGTCCCGCATGGTATTATTTGACAGGGATGATGGCCCTGGCAGGTGCGCAACCGTTGTCGCAGAAGTTCGAAAAAGTTGCTCGCAAAAGCCCGTTTGACAGAAATGTTTAAAAAGTGTTGGGTTTCCTACGAATCCGCAAGAGCGCGCGGGATGAGATTTT